GGGAGCCCGATGCGGGACTCGATCCCGGGACTCCAGGATCATGACCTGAGCCGAAGGCAGTCGCTTAACCGACTGAGCCATCCAGGCACCCAGAACAGCCACTCTGATAAGAATGATGCTGAAGCTGTGAAAGCTATGGCAACAGGCAGGAAGTGCTGCCATTTTACTTCAACACAGTGAATACTAGAAATGTATATGTGTAAATAAAATATTAGCATAAAAGGGAAAAAGTACCATGAGAAAAATAAATAAGTATGAAAATATTTAGCATCAAGAGTGGAAAGGCAGGAACAAGTTAACCTTGACTCTAACATGAATTATTGCAAAGGGAGATGGATGGATAGATATCCTCAATGAATATAAAGTAAGCCCAAATAAAGCATAAGAACTTAAATGTATCCTTTCATAATAACAGTTCTCAATAAATACTTAATAAAGGCCACATATGACAAGCCCACAGCTAATAACATACTCAACAGTGAAAGGTCTAAAACTTTTCCTCTAAGGTCAGGAACAAGACAAGGGTGCCAGTTCTCACCAGTCCTATTCAACATAGTACTACAAGTCCTAGCCAGAGAAATTAGGAAAGAAAAAGAAATAAAAGGCATCCAAATAAGAAAGGAAGAAGTATACTTGTTTTGTTTGAAGGTTGCATTATCTTATATATTGAAAACCTAGAAGACTCCACCAAAAAACTCTTAGAACTAATGAACAAATTCAGCAAAGTTACAGGATTCAAGACACAAAAATCTGTTGTATTTCTCTATAATAATAATGAACCATCTGAAAAAGAAATAAAGGAAACAATTCCATTTACAATACCATTAAAAACTTAAGAATAAATTTAACCAAGTAGGTGAAAGATCTGTACCTAGAAAACTGTAAGACTTTAATGAAATATATTGAAGAAGACACAAATAAATGGAAAGATATCCCATGTTCGTGGATTGGAAAAATTAATATTGTTAAAATGTCTATACTACCCAAAGCCATCTATAGATTTAGTGCAATCCGTATCAAAATTCCAAAGGCACTTTTTACAGAAATAGGAAAAAATAATCCTAAAATTCATATGGAACCACAAAAGACCCCAAATAGCCAAATTAGGCTTGAGCAAGAAGTAGAAAGCTGGAAGCATCACACTTCCTGGTTTCAAATCATAGTACAAATCTATAGTAATCGAGACAGTCTGGTTTTGGCACAAAAACAGACACATATACCAATGGAACAGAACTGAGAGTCTAGAAATAAGCCCACACATATATAGTTAAGTAATATTTGACAAGGGAGCCAAGAATACTCAATATGAAAAGGATTGTCTCTTCAATAAATAGTGCTGGGAAAGTTGGATATTTACATGCAAAAGAATGAAATTGAGCCCCATCATACACCACTCACAAAAATTAACTCAAAATGGATTAAAGACTTAAATGTAGAGGTGCCTGGGTGGAGCAGTTGGTTGAGCATCGAACTCTTGGTTTCAGCTCTGTTAGTGATCTCGGGGTCATGGGATTGACCCTGCATTAGGCTCTGCGCTTATCACAGAGTCAACTTGGGATTCTCACTCCCTCTCCCTTTGCTTCTCTCTCTCTCTCTAAAGTAGGTAAATAAACCCTTAAAAAAAAAAAAAAGACCTAAATGTAATATCTGAAATGGAAGAACTCCTAGAAGGAGCACTATACAAGCCAGGCCAAGTAGTCCTTCCCTGTGATTTTAATTTTGAACCTTGAGGCAAGATGTTTCTTTCCTTTCATGTCCTTATATTGGAATGATGTTAAGTCCAAAAGTGCCTAGGGTGCACTCCCCGCCAGTAGTGAAGGTTCAGCTGAGGGGGTTCAGATATGCCATGAGTGGATGGTGACCACCTGTGCCTCACAGTGCAGAAAGAAGCCCTTAAAGGAAGTGGGTGGGGAGCTTCCTAGGGTAAATGTACTCCTAACATCTTCTCAGATGTTTAACTGTCAGCCAGTGCTTCTCTGAGGAACCATGGAAGACCAGGGAAGCTTCATCAGAAGCATCCTTTCCATGCTGTCTTCTGAGCTAAGTAAACTGTGAAACTGCCCCCCCACCCCCCACCCACACACACACAACCTGTGAGCTATATGGGAGCTTGGTCAGTAGCAATTAATCCAGTACACTGTAGAGGTATACATAGGTCACAGTTTCATCTGAAGTAGAAGAAAATGAGACCAGCAACAGAGAGAAGCAGAGATGAGAGCTGAGAAAGAACAAACTTTTGATAGCATTTCAGCATCTGGACCCCGTCATCCATGAAGCCTGATCCAACACTACTTTTCCCAGTTATATGAACCAATAAATGCTCTTAAGTTGGATATTATTCTGTTGCAAATGAAATGGCCTAATGCAGAAACTGGAACAAGGAATGACAGACCTAAATGTGTAACTGCTTGGGTCAAGATAAGGAATATAATAATTGAGGTCTCCCTATCTTTGGCTGAAAAGCTGAAATCCTTAGTATATGGAAGTGAAGCAGTGGGTTAAACTGTTATCTAGTATTTTGTGCCTTAGGCAAAGTCCCCACCACCCTAAAGATAGGAACTTTATGGACTTGGTAGAAAGGCATCAGGATATTGGGGTGAGAAAGCCTGATGACCCAGAACCTTCCCAAACACCTCCATCACTGCAGCGCCCTTAGCCCCTGGCCTAACAAGGGTCATATCCTTCCCTATTATCAGCTTTGGGTGAATTCTGGGGATGAAAGCAACACCTTGCTGTTTCACTTTTCTAAGAGAGACCAAGGTGATGTTAATCTGAAGCCCAGGCAATTATTGCCTAGGGACTGAAATCATAAGAATGGGAACCCAGATTCAAAGACACTGATTTACAAGATTTTTGGCATTTGTTACTAGCCAATGGGGCAACCCAAAATGATATAATCAGATCAGCCACCAAGGTTTCAAGCCAACTGTATCACCTCCTGGGCAAACAGAGATTTGTGAGTGTTCACTTCTTAAGACAGCCTTCCAAGCCCTTATCACAGACAGTGGGTTGCTAAAGCAATAGAGACCCCAGCAGAGGAAGTCTCCCAACCATCCTTTCAGTCTTGGTGATGACGCCGATGGATGTCAGTAGGAAGGCTTGGGAACGCCCAAACTGGCTGACTAAGGAACCCACTGCATGTCAAGAGAAGGGAGCCGACAGAGATTGAACTCACTATTCCTGTCTATAAGGCTGGAGGATGCTGCTTGCTTCTCTGTAACCCATTTCTAAATGTGTTTCAGCCTTGCTGTCTTTCTTCTCTACTGACTTCCCTTCTCCATATGGCCACCATCTTATTCTTAGCCTTGGACAAGCCTATCCTCTGCTTAACAACAACTCAGCTACATTGTAACTATAATATGCAACACACAGCAATGAAAGGTCCCCAGTTAGTCACACAGGGGCCATTTCTTTATTCTCCAGTTTCTCCATTTCTCCCAATTCTCCAGTTGTTGAAAGGGCCTGGCAAAAGACCATAGCCACCTATGTAAAAGGGCTGCCATTTAAAGTAAGCATTACAGCAGAGATGGACATGAAACAAAAAAAGATTTTATGTAGCATTTATTTTTTTTTTTAATCTCATCCTAATTTTGGCTTTATTCCTCATCTCCTATTCCCATTCTTTTCTTGGAAATCCAAACTTTTTTTTTTAACAAAATGTTTAAAATCATAATTATCTAGAGTCATAACAAAATTTCTTCTCTCCAAAAAGGGGGAAAACACAGCTTTTATTCTTATGCACCATCCTCAAATACACACATTAATATATATTTTATAAACTATTTAAAATAAAACCCTTCATCCTTTGAGGTTATTGATATTTTCTAGCTCACTGACACATTTCCCATAATACATTAATTCTACCCATTTTCATGAATGAGGTGGGAACTATACTAAAAAATAGGATTTTAATCCCTGAGGTGCCAGTTAAAATGGACAAGGTTGCCATTGCAACACAAGATTTTTAAAAATCAGCCTTAAATAATAATCATAAATCATGCTATCTGGATGAGAGTCACCTCCATAGCATGGGGTCATTTAGAAAATGGAATTTAACTGGGTTGAGTTCACCCTGCTACTTCTAGCCTTCATGCCATGACAATCTTCCTTTTGTAAAGGAGTAACACATAGCAATGAAGTCTGCAGAAACTTCTGAGATCCTCAGAAATCAAGAGAAACCACAGTCCCGTTTCTCTATTCTCCATCCAGATTGCTGGAGAGGGTTTTTCAGCACCATCCTACGACCTGCAAAGATTGATGAACTGACTTGGTTTTTCTACTTCTGCATACATTTAGTCGAAAAGGAAAGCTCAGTCCTCCTGGCTAGAAAATGGGCGTGCCTTCTTATCTCTGCCCCCAGGACTGCAGCAGAACTACGTTCAGCTCTGTGCCCACCCGCCCTGCAGCCCCTGGCCCTTGCCGACGGCTTCCTGCGGCGCGCGGGCTTGGGCTCCCGCCGCTAGTAGTAGCGGTTCAAGCTCCTGGTCCCGGGAACCTCGGGTTGGCCGTTCATCCAGATCTCCCTGATGATGCGCTCCCGCTCCTCCAGCCGCTGGGCGCGCTCCAGCTCCTCGGCCGAGGTGAACACGTTCTTGTTCAAAGTCCTTTCGAAGCGGCGGTGCCTCCTGACCGAGATGTCAGACGCCGTGTCTGAGCTGCCATCCTCGCTGTCGCTGCTGTCGCTGCTGTTCTCTCGGTCCTGCAGGAACTTCTTCCGGGGACGCTGCCGGCAGTCCGTGTGGCAAGAGATCCTCATCACCAAGGCAGCCAGGGTGAGCACCAGCCCAATGCACACGCCGGAGACAAAGTACAGAGCTGCTCGCTCGGGATTTTCTGCAGGAGGAGGAAGAAGAGGCATTTGAGAGATGACGACTCCATGTGCGGAGAGCACATAGGGCTCCTGCCCGCCTTGCGCACCTCTCACCACCCCCCAAAGCTCCGACGGTTACAAATATTGCCTTCCCATGTGACAAACTACATAGTGTATTCAAAACATAATTATCAACGAACGGTGAATCTGGGTATAGGGCGTATGGGATTCTTTTTTTTTTTTTAAAGATTTTATTTATTTATTTGAGAGAGAGAGAATGAGAGACAGAGAGCACGACAGAAGAGGGCAGAGGGAGAAGCAGACCCCCTGCCGAGCAGGGAGCCCGATGTGGGACTCGATCCCGGGACTCCAGGATCATGACCTGAGCCGAAGGCAGTCGCTCAACCAACTGAGCCACCCAGGCACCCCCTTTTTTTTTTTTTTAAAGATTTTATTTATTCATTTCACAGAGAGAGATAGTGAGAGCAGGAACACAAGCAGGGGGAGTGGGAGAGGGAGAAACAGGCTTCCCAATGAGCAGGGAGCCCAATGTGGGGCTCGAACCCAGGACCCTGGGACCATGACCCGAGCCGAAGGCAGACGCTTAACAACTGAGCCACCCAGGCGCCCGGGTGTATGGGATTCTTTTCCTCTATTCTTGCAACTTTAAGTTTGAAGTAATTTCAGAATGAAAAGATAAAAGAAAGAAAAGTATTATTTAGGATGTATTATAAGCAAGCAACTGTACCTAAATGTCATTTGCTTAGGAGGTGTATATGTGTTTAAAGCCTATTTTCGCCTACAGAGGAAGATTCTTGGCTTCTGAATTTGCTCCTGCAACCCCTGAAGAAACTTTTAATCACAGATGTAAGCAGCTTTTTTTTTTTTTTTTTTTTGACGACAAATTTATAAATAAAATCCAGGACCAATGCCTCCTTTATTCTAACTATACCATCACAGGCCTAAGTCAATACATGTGGTCAGTTCCTGAGATGCCCCCCACCTCTTAGTATTCTGACTCTTATACAAGCCCCTTCCTTTGAGGGCTGGACCTAGTGGGCCGGACCCAGTGATCTATTTCTAAAAAACAGAATATGGCAAAAGAGATGGATGAGTCTAAGATTAAGTTACAAAAGACTAACTTCCAAATTGCTTATGCGTTTTGTCTGGCTTTTCTCACTCACTTGCTCTGATGAGGCCAGCTACCATGTTGTGAGCTGCTCTACAGAGGGGCCCATCAGCAAATTAGTTTTCCATACTCTCTATTCACTGGTTAGTATGAATCAAAACATATATTTTTTTTTGTGGGTTTTTAAAGAATATAAGTGGGATCATATATAATACATATCTGTTTTTTTTAAATTTAAGAATGTTTCTTAGAGAGATTTCCAGATATGCCAATAGCATTCTTTTTGACTGCTGCCTAGTCTTCTGTAGTATAGACATATCAAAGTTTAACTATTTCCTTATTACTATCACATAAATGGTTTACAATTTTTCACTATTATGAGCAATACTAATGTCAACATGCTTGTATCCTTGTACACATCTCTTTATATACATGTAGAATTATTTCTACAGGTTAGTTATCTAGAAATAGGACAACTGTATCAAAGGGCATAGGCATTTTGAAGTTTTATGCATTCTTAATTGTACCCAAAAAAGGTTGTATCAGTCTAAATACAGCATATTGAATGCATGTGTTTATGATGCCTCCTTCCCTTTGAAACTTCTACCAAAATGACAGTGATGTGAATACAATAGATATAAATTATAGGTACAAAGAGGAGAGGAGAGAAGAAAATAGAAGACACTAGTAGCAGATACAAGGGTAGTCAACAAACAACATAAATGTGGTGAAAGGGGGTGATCAATATCATGGTGGTGTAAGATATCCCAATTTTTGTGTCCCTTTTTTTTAAACAGCTAATTAAGCATCCATCCACAAACAAAAGTGTCTCTGTGGGGACCCTCTGATCCAACAGCATAGGCCAAGAAAGCCAGGAGGAGTCTCTCCCACCCGCCCATCAGATCATCCAGTAATAGACAGACTGCAGACAGACTTTGGTTTGGACTGTGGAACGAGCAACCCCAACCCTGACCCTTCCCAGCTGTGTTTGGGGAAAATCTTGAAAAGTGTTGACCTGGGCAAATACCCATGGATGAAACAGAATTCCAGCACATCAATGAAGGAAACAAACAAACAAAACAAATTTGAAGGAACTTTTCCAGTAGTGCCCCTCCCCGCCCCCCGAGTTGACACAGCACAGAATTGAACTATCCCGTGGCACCACTCTGTGGGGGAAAGGGGAGCAGTGTGTGAGTGCCTGGCTACCCTAGCTTTGCCAGATGCTGCACAGGAAACCCATTTCCCTCCAGCAACATCCAGAGTACTAAAGTGGGACCTCCATGACTGAGAGGAGGGAAGAAATTGGGAAAGAGGCAAGTAAGAATATCAAAGGGCATTATAAAGGGACACAGTTCATGCTGACTGAGCTCAGCATGTCTGGAGAAAGTCCACCCACAAGCCTCTGGGAGAACCTCAGCCAAGGATCTTCCTACCACCTGGCAGACATCCCTAATACCCCAAGTGCTAAACCCATACCTTCCCTCACTCTAAGGTGGTTCCTTACTTGGGCTCCAAGATGGGCAGCAAAAGTTGGGTAAACCAGAATGCTATCAGAAACACAGACCTGGAACTGTGGGCAAGAGAGAAACCACAATCTTGAGCTGTAGCACCACCTTCTGGAAAAACAAAAGAGAGGTTTCCAGGAGCCAACCAGGTGAGCTGTAAGATCCAGAGAAGACATAAAAGCTTAAGAATTCTGCCACAAGAGGGAGCAAGAAGTGTGGAGCAGGTGTATAAATACAAGGTCTGAGAGAACCCCATATACAACAGGACCAACAAACAATATACCCCATCTGAAAGCAACTAGTGAAGAGTTGAGGAGGTGTCTTTTACTTCAGAGGCAAAGCAGCAACACAAAATTACAAGGAACATGAAGAATCAAGAAAACATGTCATCATCAAAAGATAATCCTTCAATAAAGACTTCAAAGACATGAAATCTTATGATCTAGCAGATAAAGAATTCAAAATAACTGTTTTGAGGAAACAATGAGCTACAAAGAAACACAGAAGATAATTCAGTGAAATCAGGAAAAAATACATGAACAAAATGAGAAATTTAGCAACGAGATAGAAACCATAAGAAAGAACCAGACAGAATTCTGGAGCTGAAGAATTCAATGATTGAAATGAATAATGCAATAGAGAGAATCTGCGGCAGAGTAGATCAAATGGAAGACAAAATAAGTGACCTAGAAGACAGTGCTTTTCAAACAACCCAGTGCAAGGCAAACAGAGAAAAAAGAATGGCAAAGAAAGCCTATGTGATCTATGGGATTCGGTCAAATGTACAAATACTAGCATAATCAGGGTTCCAGAAGGAGAAGAGAGGAGGAAGGGGCCAGAAAGTTTGTTTTAAAATATAATAGCTGAGAACATCCCAAAACTGAGGTGACACTTTGACATCCAAGTTCACAAAGCTAATAGATCACCCTAATATCTCAATGCAAAAAGACCTCCAAGCCACATTATAATGGAACTGTCAAAAATCAAAGAAAAAGAAACCTAAATGTATCTAGAGGGAAAAAAAAAAGTATAACTTATAAAGGATTAGGCTATCAGTGGATTTCTCAGCAGAAACCCCACCGGCCAGGAGAGAGAGAGTGGACTGACATAGTCAAAATGCTGAAGAAAAAATTACCAGCCAAGAATACTCTATATGACAGTTATTCTTCAGATATGAAGGAGAAATAAAGACTTTCTCAGTGAAACAAAAGCTGAAGGTATCCTGCCTTACAAGAAATGATGAAAGGAGTCCATCAAGCTGAAGTGAAAAGATGCTAATTAGTGGCACAAAAACATCTGAAAGTGTACAACAAACTGGTAAAGGTAAGTATGCAATCAGATTTAGAAAACTCTAAATCTGTAATAGAATAGTGTGTTAACCACTAAACTATGGTATAATTAAAGGAAAATAGTACTAAAAATAATTGTAACTATTATAATCTGTTAATGAACACAATATATAAAAAGAGGTAAATGGTAACATCAAAACTATAAAGAGGGGAATAAAAGGGTGGAGCTTTTGTATGCAGTTGAGAAGTTTTCAATGTTTTACCAATGAACATGATGTTAGTTGTGGGTTTGTCATATATGGCCTTTATTATAATGAGGTATGCTCCTTTTATACCCAATTTGTTGAGGATTTTATCATGAAAGGATGTTGTATTTTGTCAAATGCTTTTCCTGCATCTATTAAGATGGTCAAGGAAACATAGGGAGATGAAATCACTGTCTTTAAGAGATATCTGCACTCCCATATTCGCAGCAGCATTATTCACAATAACCAAGACATGGAAACAACCTAAGTGTCCATCAAGAGATGAATGGATAAAGAAAATGTGTTGTGACCTTAAGTACATTATTCTAATTGAGATTAAGTCAAAAAAAGTAAGATAAATACTGTATGATATCACTAATATGTGGAATCTAAAAAAGACCTCATAAAAACAGGGTATAGTAATGGTTAATAAACGCTGGAGAGTGAGAGAATTGGGTATGTGTTGTTTAAGGCTACAAATTTGCAACCAGTAGATAAATTTAAGTCCTGGAGATTTAAAGCACAGCCTAGTGAATATAGAAAACAATATTGTATTATAGACTTCAAAGTTGCTAAGACACTAGATCTTAATTGTTTTCACCATGGAAAGAAAGATAATTAGGTGATGTGAAAGACATGGTAGTTAATGTTATGATGGTAATCATACTGCAATATATAAATGTATCAAGTCAACACCTTGTAACCTTAAATCTACATAATGTCATATGTCAGTTATATCTCAATAAAAATTAATTGATTGCTTGATTTAAATAAATAAATAAATATTCAGTGAGGGAGGATGAAACTGAACCCTGTCTAGTTGATATCCAGGAAACATTGAGAGGATTGAGGGAG